AGTCATCTCTTTATTTTCTCTCCTTCACATGTTGTTCAATTTGTTAAGCAGCCTGCATGTCTTCCATTCCATATTTACCTTTCTACAGAATTGTTGCTTCTTCTTTTACTCTGTTTGTTTGGAATATATTTTAATTAAAATATTTTGGTACTGGGTGTAAGCAAGGATTTGTTTATAAACAAATATACTGCCCAGACTTTTCTCTTGTTGCAGAATTGCATTGTTCTTGAAATAATTTCATTTAGACACAGGAGTTAAATCAAAAGTACGTTATTAAGGCCACAAAGCCATGGATTTAAAAAGTGACCCACATAATACATATGAATTGACCTGTATAATCCTAATTCAGCTTCTTTCACACAAGCAATCTGCATTACACAGAAGTACAGTCATAGGGTTACTGCCTCTTTCAGGGAGGAATGAAATGAAGCTCCTGTATGGAGGACTGCTGCCTCAGCTTTGGCTGTGTGTGGTAGATTTATTCCTTCTGGGAGTCTCAGTGTAGATGGGCCTAATTCTGCATCTGCCCGGAGCTACATTTCCTTTCTGCTTGGCAGAAGTCAAGGAGGCATGAAAATTGGAACGTGGAGCACAGCGAGGGAGGCAATAGGGATGGTGCCAACCCAGAGAGATCAAACATGAATCGCTGAGAGGCTGGTGGCAGGGGCCACCAAAGAGAATGGCAGGGCATTCATATTTGTTCAGGATGTGGTACTGAGTAAGGCACATCTCAAGCTTTCATAGTTTGTCACAACCATGTCTTCTTCATTTTCTGGACACCCTGCCCGAGACCCAAATTTCCTGAGCTCTCGGAGCTGCAGTTGAAGGCACCAGTTGTCCTTCGATATATGAAGTTTTGCATAACACCAGGCATTCCAAATGGCCTTCTGGCAGGTCCAGGGAGATTTTTGTTTCTCTCAGTCTCTTTGAGTCAACATCCTGGTTCTGAGAGAGAAATCTTTCTGGTTTGTTTATTTTTTTGAGTCTGTGTGTTTTTTTGGTTGGTTGGTTGGATTTTTTTTTTTTTCTGCTACTGTATAAAGCCATTTGGAATGCTCAGCTGGTTGGTGTTAGTAAAGCATCTGTACAGTCTAGGGGTGGACACTGCAAGAAAAGTCTCCAATTACGTACAATTAGTCAGGCCAGAGACCACATGTTGGAGGCAGTTTTAGAAAGGACTGTGGTACAAAGCCTGTGTACAAAAGGGGACCAAAACCTATTGTACAATGTCCTGGCACCGGGATTCTCTAGTTTATGAGTGTTCAGTTTTGCAATTTTAATATTTTCAAAGATTTTTTTCTGTATAATTTCCTTCTTCTTCTCCTACTGTTTGTATCCTTTGCATCCAGGAAGAGGAACTTTTTTTAAAGTATTATGAGGTGCTAACAAGAGGGTCCTTGAACATGCAAGAGAGAGGTTTTCAGTGTTTGTGCCTGGTAATATCTTTAAGATCAATTTTGAGAAATACCCAAAAGAGTAGTTTAGCAAAGTTGTTGTATTCTGGGATGGAGCATGCTCTGTGAGACAGGCTGATCAGCAGTTAAAGCTGAGCTCTGAGGTGTTCAAGATAAGCTCATAGAGTCTGCATCTTTAACAATTTAACTGTAAGAATCCTTTAATGGGTGCACAGAATTGGCTGTTCTAAAAGCTTAGTATCTTAGCCAAATTATGAGTGCAATTTTATGAGGAGTCCTGAAGTCAGATTCTTAAGCTGCAGGCAACTTGATGTCAAATCTGAAGTCATTGACACACAGCACAAGGATGTTTGAAAATTTCCAAGGAAAAGTTAAAGCAATATATTCTGTTTTAGTCTCATTCAAGGATTAGAATACGAGGTTTGAGCTGTAAAAAGTAGTTTAAAAATTATAAGTAACTAAAATTAATATCTTGTAATGAGGGCTTGGTTGTCAGTCCGGTTTCTTAGTGCTTTATAGCATTGCTAGTAAAGTCTTGTAACATATTGGAAAAAAATAGAGTGGAAAAAGAACAAATAGAGGGTGGGAAAGGGGAAGGAGTATCTTTGGACTTGTTTGCAATATAGTAGAAGGTTACATGTACAAGTAAGAGAGTATTTAATTATATTCTCTTATTGTTGCAAATGTATTTGTAATAAATTTTCTAAACATTACAGGCTATTCAGCTTTTCAAGTCTGAAACTCTAAGAAATTACATTTTCGGGTGTTTATCTGTGCTACAAGTGCCATCTAAGTTTTTTTGATTTTAGTTCAAATATGACTATATGAGGGACATCCATAGATCCATTGCAGCACAGACAGACATTTAATCTGGATTGTTTTGTTGGGTCTTTTAAAGCAGTAGAGAATATATACCTAAATTATCAAGAATTTACCATTTTAGTATTGTTCAAATGTAATATAAGAATGGTTCCTATTTTGTTTGGCAAAAATACTAAAAGTTAACTTTAAGCCCAGTAACTTTCTGTGTAGTGATATAGTTCTTGTTAACTGATGTCAACATCTCAGCCTCATCTCTTTTTGCTCTTTCTAGGTCTGCAGCCATACACTAATTACAGCTTCATGCTTACTGCATGCACATCTGCTGGGTGTGCTTCTAGCCAACCACTTTCAGGTCAAACTTTACAAGCTGCTCCTCATGGTAAGGGAAAAAGATGTTCTTATAGAACTGCAAAGAGATGGTCATACTGACTTGTATTTTCTGATGGTTTAACAAGATGCAGAACTCCACTATCATCCATCAAGCTATCATGTATAAATTTACACAAGAGGATCTGTCTCTCTTGGAGTATCTGTATCTTACCACACTCTATATACTGACTGCCTGGCACTGCATTTCTACTTTCTTTTTGTGAAAATTTCCCCAAGCTCCTCTTTAAGTTAACGAGGTTAAAATTATCAGATGCGTGTTTTTTTAAAGCACAAATAAATATGCAGAGATAACTGGGCATATAAAGGCTGCAGCCTTTGGCCTTGTTCTCCATTAATCTCTACCTTGTCTAATTGGTTGCATTTGTTATAGGATAAATAGAGGAAATGTGTTAAATTCTGTCATTCTCCCTGGCAGTGTTTTATGTTTTCATTACATTGCTCAAAAGAACAGCACAAACTGTGGGAAAGGAAAAAAAACCCTTTATGTTTCTGTCATAAAATTAAAATAGTGTCATTGTGATGTTAACAGGAGTATGGCCAAAACCTCATCATATCATAGTCAGCTCAACAGAAGTGGAAATGTACTGGAGTGAACCAGAGAAACCCAATGGACTCATTACTCATTATCGATTATTTCGTGATGGAGAGCAGATTTTCCTGGGTGGCAGTACAGACCTGAATTTCACAGATATTAACCTGCAGCCCAATAGTAGGTAAGGCATGTTAAAGAGCACTCATAATAGTTGAAAGGCATTGAAAAACATACGTACCCATGTTAGTGAGATGTACAAAATATAAGTTACTCTGAACAAAAAAAAACTCTCTTATAATATTACTTAATTACTGAAAATTAGTAGAGCACTTTTAAGGAGGCTTCCAAGTGTTGGAAAGACCTTAATCATTTTTCCTTTTCTGAGAATAGCTCATTCTGATTCAAAGAAGTGAAACTTTATTTTTTTTCTTGGCTGGTTGTTGGTAGCTCATTGGTGGGGGGTGGTTCTCAGGAAATATACTTCAGAAAATTTCAGGGTTTATGTGACAAACAGCCCTGCACATGGTATATAATGTTTCAGTGCATATTGAACATACAGGGTCAAAAGTGGCTGCTGATATTTTTATAAAGGTTATTCTGAAATTGCTTTTGACACTTTTTAAGTCAATACTTCTCTCTCTTATATAAGCCAATGTGAATTTCTGTGTTAGTATTTACTATATTATTTAGTATTACTACTTTTATTTTAGTATTAGTATCTATGACTCTATCATAATTATTCTAAGTAGTTACTTTTCTCAAATTAAGAAAATTAAAGGTGAAAATCATCACTAATGCAGTATTTGTAATACTCTTTGCATAGTCTATTCACTTTAAATTGGTGAAAATGGAAATGTTCTGATACTGATATGCCTAAAGCTTCTAACCACAGTGTCTACTCATCTTTTTGTGTTTGTGCAGATATGTTTACCAGTTGGAAGTCAGCACTTGGGGTGGCAGCAACACCAGTGATAAATACATTATACAAACACCAGTAGGAACACCAGAGAAAATTCATGTCCCATATAATGTCACAGTAATTGATGCATATTCTATATTTCTAGCTTGGGATGTGCCAGGTAAAATCATATTTCTATGTAGTACTTTGTAGCAAAAGGAAAGGATGGAAAAATTAGTATAATCAGGTAGGCAGCTGAATCATTCTGATGTTTTTGGTTTTCATATTTGGTGTTAGTGTTTGTATGATTTAAATAGCCAGTAATCTAAAGCTGCTGTATCCTAGAGACATATTATTTTAATAATATTGACCTAGATACTTGACATGGGCATCGTGAGGTTTAGTTTACCAAAACCCTGTGTTTTAATTTGGTCTTGTAAACTATTTTTGAGTGCAAGTATTAAGGAAAGAACACAATTTCTCCTCTGTTCAGACTAACCTGAGTTATCACCAGAGAAACCTGACAACATTTTAGGTTTTGTGACAAAGAGATCCTGTGCTAGTTTTGACCTGATTGAGTAAATTTTATTTGCCCAAGGACAATAGTGTTATATGGATCTGTTACCTTGCAGGATGGTGGGTCAGCAAAGGTCCAGAAATGTTTTTCCTCTAGTTACTCTTCTCCTGAACATGACCAGGTGGTCTTGGCCTGCCACAGAGGTAGGCTAAGAAGGAATAATTGAAAAATAGCATTTTTCTATATGAGAAACTGTGTTCTGTTTCACTAATATAGATTATAGCTTAAGCGATTGGTGTACTTTACTGATGTTATAAAAATTATATGCTGTAGTTACTGTGGGACAATGAGAGCATCATAAATGAATAATTTTTTCTCTAGTTCATCTCCATCAAGGTGTCTACCAGTTTGTAGATATTAGGAATTTTTCAGCTAAAATGAGGTCATTTTTTTTAGAAACCAGATGTTTGCATATTGCAATAATAACCACATGTGTTTTATCAATGAACTCATGGAATTTTTTAATGTCTCCTCTTTTTAATTATTTAAGATGTTCTATCCTTGCATAGCAGTCACAGTAGAGTCAATTGGCATTAAAAATAAAGTCACCTAGAAAAAATATTTTGCCTTCAAGGCTGGGATCGCAAGTATTGTTGCAGTGCTTAGCAGCATTCCCCCTACCCATTTAAGCAATGATTAATAAATCTATAATACCCTGAGCTGTCAATCTTTTAGTTTTCAGAAGCACAAAATCCATTATAGAAATGCTATAATATATGAAAAAGATTAAAATCTTAAATTAAACTTTTTCCTCTATTGCCTGAAAGGATTTAGAACCCAGCAGAAGGCAGGTGAATTCAAATGGCATATAATCTACAGTTGGCTTTATTGGAAAGTGACTCATGCTGTATTATAGTTTTGATAATAAATATAATTTAAGGTACAAAATATTCAGCAACATTTTAAATAGATTTAAAACATAAGAATGTACTGGAATAGCATATGCTTGTGAAGCGTGGGATGTTTCCCAGAAAATCTTGTTCTTGTTCTAGACCTTTTCCAACTGCTTAAATTCCTGTTACTTGCACTAGGTTAGAAGCCTGCAAAGAGAATGAGGTTTTGTGCAGTACATTTGGTTATATTGCAATCAAGATTATGCATACAAAGGTTCATGTATTCCTGAAATCACACAATGAGAGGGGTGAGGAGGAGACTGGACATTATGGCTCTATAGAAGATGCAGGGTTGATGTCTGTAGGAATCATTCTCCTCAGTTGAGGAAGGCCCATGTCCTTCTTCCCAGATACTGAGATACACCTTGAACACTTATCTCACTTCCATGGATATTTTATGACTTTACAGAATCACAGAATATGCCGAGTTGGAAGAGACCCACAGGGATCATCAAGTCCTGGCCCTGCACAGGACCCTTTCTCTCTGCCTTCTTGTTGTGGGGCCAATCATTTAAGTTTTTAAATATACATAAGGGATTGTTTTTCATACAGTGCCTCCGTTGGCTATTGTCCTGATTTTAGCTGGGATGGAGTTCACTTTCTTCTTAGTCAAGGAAATGACAGGAAAGCAAATCTTGCTATTCATTTTATTACAGCACCTCAGGGCCGCTAGCTGATCTTACACGAATGAAGAGTACTAACAGCAGGGAAATGTTACTGAAAGCTATTAATGCTACTAGTCCTACTAATGCTACTAAAAACTGTGTAAGGAAGCGTAGTTATATGCAGAAGCTAGGAAATTAATTCCTGACCCTTCATAGTCCTGTATCATGCTCAGTCTAGTGGGTTTTTTTCCCTAAAAGGAAGACTGTGGAAGGTGCGGGTGGAGGTTTAGTCTGTAAATTGTGATCTTTTGGAATGGCAGAGATCCTATTAACATGTTCTATTCATACAGTTGTCTAGGGCCACATATATCCCCAGCTTCGTAGGATTAGCCTAAAGAGTCTACAGCTTATTATCCTTGTTTATGTCATTGTGCACAGAGTAACTATTTTTTTCTGATTTATTTTTTCTGTGAATGAATCCTTGTTTCACAATAGGCTATATTGAAATAATATAGGTTTTCCTTATAAACCCAGAATGCAGCTTTACTTGTAAGGATTGTAAGGTTTGGCAGTCACTCTTGGATGAAACAGTTGTTTTCACTGGTATAGACTCCATGACAAAAAAGTGTTTTTAATTAACCGAGTTTTGATGAGAGGGTATTTGTTCATAGTGTCTTCCTGTCTATCGATATCAAGGATGCTTTGGCATTCTATCTTATCTGCTGTAATAAATTTGGTTCAAATAATCACCCTCAAGATTAATTATGGACACATCATATTACACAGACCTTCCTGTTGAATGGTTTTAATTATAATGTTTCAGCATCTGTAATATATCTAAACCTTATGACTTTATAGATACGTAGCGTTTCAAAACTCCTGACTTAGCTAAATAGCAAGGTGGCCCAGTAGTGGTTAAAGTGATGGATTCAGAAAAAAAAAAATTTGACACACCTCACTCACTATGGAAAATAGGACTTTATTTTCTGAAATAGGTATCCCATTATCTTGTGTTGCATTGCCTCAGTGCACAGACCTCAAATGTACGGTACATTTCACTGATACGCTATGGAAGGATGTGTTACAATTATGGAACAACTATTAGTGCCACAGATAGAAGCAGAAAAGCTGAATGGAAAAAAAAAACACCACACAATTTCCCCAAGGTATATCCATAAATGTTATTGATAGGTAGGCAGGTAGCCATCCTGCATTCTATCTCATTGACACCACCTCTGGTCCTCACTGGGGGCCTGATTCTTCTAGGTGTCTTCAGTGCTGGTGATAACATGAAAGTTGAACATGCTCAAAAGAGGATCCTGTCCTCTGCTCCTAAGTTATTTGCTTCATATGTTAATGATCATCTGGATTAAAATGTCTTCTTCTTCATCATGCTGTAACACTCTACTTTATCCACCTCTGGGTCTGCTTATCAATTAGAATGAAAGTTGTGTAACATCTGGATTCCTACTTTATTCTTGGGATCAAACATGGTAACTGAATGCCATTTATTTGTCACTTAGCTTGCTCAGCTAACCTGGTTCCTTCCTTATTGGTGGCCTAAAAAATCTGACTTTTGCTAAGCCAGTGTTACATTTTCTCATTTTTGTTTTCTTGTGTAAATTACTGTTTGTTCCACCTCCCTGTATGACAAGCTTTTCAAGCTCAATATCCCCAGTTCTGCATCTTGAAACAGTCAGCATTCCCAGCTGTTATTTTTTTCATTCTTGTTGGGAATACTTGATACAACCAGATTGAGATGTCTGGATATTTGGAGCATAATGTAAATACTTGATTTCAGAAAGCCAAATAGATGGGTTTATTTTGTGAATTTAAATATTAAAATGTAAATTTAAAAGATATGGCATTTAATACTATTTTAGTATTTTTTTGCTATAAGTGAAACAGTTTAACTATTTTGCTCTAATTGTGATTGGGTTTCACATCACAGTGAACAATTTTTCAGCAATTGATTTCAAACAGATTTTTGGTGACCAGTCTGTAAAAAACTGGCTTTTTCCCTCCAGTTCAGCATCTTGTGCTGCAAATGCTATTTTTGACCTACCCTAGTTTTGAAGTACACAAAACCGTCAAACCTAATTTGCAGAGTTTTGCACAGAATTGTCCATTAAATGTTATCCAAATATGCCCACAAAAACCCAAGGTTTCGTTTGATTGATTTGTCCCATTGCAAAATGTGCACCTGCTGTGAAATGAAGTCGCAGAGAAAAAAAAAAGTGGAATAATTTAACTTTTTTATTTGTAAAGATAATCAGGGGTTTTCTGATTACATCTTAACTTCATAAATGTTAAATAACCTATCAGCATCTAGTTGTTGTAAATTATGAAAAAGAGTATTGCTGGGAATATTAACCAACTAAATCCTTGTTCTTTAGTGAACATGAAAATGTGTTATGGCAGGTTGTCATTGTGCTCATGGTAACTTTGACACCAAATAACAAAACTGCCATTTGCACTTAGGGTAAATTGGTTCACTTGTGCTTTTATGGTTCCTTTTATTCTGACATGAATTTATGAACTCTGGAACTAACCAAGTCGTGTGGTTTCCCAGCTGACTTTAACAAATATGCCTATTTCGTTTCTTTCAGTCATCAGAGCACACAAGGTAGTAGTTTCAGACTGGCTGCAGATGCTGAAGGCTGTTCTAAAAGAAAGGAGTTTTTTTACAAGTTTCTGTGTTGTAAGAGTGTATCTTATAATTTTTTCAGATGAAAAAGTGATCCTTTGATTTTAGTATTCAATGAATTTGATCAAATTGTAGGAGGATTTCCATTTGATATTGGAATTTTTTGGGATATTTATTTGATTTTATTTACAATTTCATTTTCACCTTTTGAGGATATTTTTTTCTTGAGCATATTTATTATTGGTATAATTACAAATATAGTGCAACATTTAGCAGAATTTTAAGATTTTGGGTTTCAGTTGTAGCTTGGGGTTTTTTTAATGGTTTCTAATGTGGCCTGAACATTGTCCAACGCTGTCAGATAGGTCAACTACTTTGAAATAAGTGTCCTGTGCTGCATACCGATGGCTGGATTCTGCTGTCCTTGTTTGTATTTAATCTTTCTTGGGAAATCAAGCATTCTGAATAGTTTCAATTTCAAAGGTTTCTGGTGAATTTTGCTTAGAATAAATGCCCTGATCAGATGCATAAAACTGAATTGTATGTCACTTTTATAAGAGAGTAGGTTTTTCTGGCTGAAATATCTGACAGGACTGGAGAAGAAGGGGACCTTAACTAGGAGGTTAAAAAATGTTTCTATTTGATATGCTGTCTACCATTTCAAACTCTTACTTCCAGATATTCTGTTGTATCTTATACAGGCCCTCCAGTTATAGGGGGGAAAATAACAGTAGTAGTAGTAGTAGTAGTACTAATAAAAATAATAATTACAATATATACTCAATTACTAGCGAAATTACATAATACACACTCAAGTGCACTCCTCTGGAGCATTTCATCTTCCATACATCAGGCAAAAAATAATTTTCTTCTTTGCAGAAACAATCTACTTCAAGATCACCTCCTAGAGTTTTACTGTGTAACATCCTGCTTGATTTTAAAAGTTGTATTTTATTATTCCATTCTTAATTATTAGATCTTGATGTTTTTCTTGTAAAAAAAGGAAAATTTTACAGGGGAATTTTTGCATTTTTCGTCTCCTTCTCCCTTCACCTCTTCCAACAACTACTAACATCTTTGTTCTTCCTGTAAGCTGAGCAGTTAAATAAGATTGAAGCCATGCCTCTACTTTGGGGCTATTTTTTCAGCTTTTTAGTGTAGTGACATTTTCTTTGTCTAGCATCTAGTCAGGCATAGCAAGTTATTTCTTTGGGATTTTTATATCCTCTTTTTCTTATAAGAATTTTAAAAACTTGGTATTTCAAAGATTTTTCTGATCTTCCAAAATACATCAGTTGTTTATAGTGCCACAAATAAACTTGAAATCTCTGATTTCTTGTAAACTTTTTTTTTTTTAGTCAATGTGCATATTCACATACATACTTAGCTAAAAAAATCCATCTAAAAGGTGCACAACAGTAGAAGAAATGCTATTTGTAGCTTCAGGGTAGTAGTATCAATGTAGATAATTTATCAGAAAAAGACTCAAAATGCAATTAAGAGAAAAAGTTGTTTTCCAAAGTTACAAACGGAAAGATTTTCAAGGTCTGGACAAGTCTCAGAAGTGCTCATAGGCATGTGGTCCTTGGTGCAGTCACAAAGACATCTCTATGACACCTAAAATATATGTTATGTGTAAAGAGAAATGTGCCTTTACTAATCAGATACATCTTGACTCATTTCAGAAGGCAACCTTGTCTAGTTTGTATTTTGTTTTTTCTTAAGACTGTTCCTTACATGACTGTAGAATGAAGGAAACACATATAACAGACACTCTTGTTTGGTCATTCTCTTGGCTTTATGAAATTGATGCTGTCTGAGTAGAGCAGTCTAGAGTGGACAAAAAATAAAAAACCTACAGCCCATTTCCTAATTACAAAAAAAAAAACAAACAACCCAACCCAACCAACCAAAACCCTAGAGAAGTCATGTGGAAGAAGACAAGAGAAGATCCAGGAATCATTCTGATGGGATGGCATATGGCTTAGTTTGTTCTTTTGAAGAAACAGTTTTTTCAGCTTCTCAACAAAACTGGAAAATTAGGAACTGACAGCATTGGAATAGGAATAGATGGGGAAAATGTTTGAATTGAAATAGTAAAAACTGAGGGTTTTTTTAACAAAAACAGTTTGTGTTTACATCAGTTAAAATTACATGTTTCTTGGCTCAAGCTATTGTATTGTACTTTACTGGTGAAGCAGGCTAAGAACCTACATTCAGCTACTGCTCTTGGGCTAAAAAGGGATAATTTGCTGAATGGTTGCAATTCCCTTTTTTGATCATATGACTATTCAAACAGCAGTGCTTGATAGCTGTTGCTCCTCCAAAATAAATAAAAGCTGCCTGGTTTCAAGTCATAAGGTCACTCTTCCCAGAAGTAGCAATTGCAACGCGGGCATTGACTGAATTGAATTTTGTTTTTTAACTAAGAACTGTAATGTCTGTCTTCCAGTTATAATCTGCAGATGGATCTGTTTCAGTTTATGTTTAAATGATTGTAGTTTTCAAGAGAGGCAGTAGGAAAACCTCCAGGGGGGGCTTACATTTAAAATTGCATATGATGAATGACTCTTTGAAGTTGTCCTGCACTGTTGTTAGTATTTCAGATAATCACCAGTTCTTCTCTGTTTCACAACAGGGATATTCATTGTCAATGTGCCTTTGGAATACAACATCTTGCTAAATGCGAGCAGCCCTGCTCTACTGGTGAAGCCAGTAGGACGTGCACATTTTGCCTTTGTTGATGGCCTAGATCCCTATACTCTGTATGAGATAAGAATACAAGCATGCCAAAATGGTAAGACATTTTTAAAGAATCACCTACGTGACTGGAAGGGAATGGAGGTTTTCCAGATGGTTTCAACTCAGCAAAACAGATGAAATCTTATTTTTATATTAGAGTCAAATGTTTGCCCAGTAAAAAGAAAGCCCAGCACTGGATAAATCATTAGATATTTCTCCATGATATATCATGAATATTTTAAATGGAGATTTAAAAGGTGTATTTCAGGTTATATGTGCCACTTTATTAAAAGCTTTTTACAAGCAACTTAAAAATTTTTGAAAATGGATATACAGAACTGAATCAGTTATGTAACTACTCACCAGCAAGAAGTGATAATCATAAAGACAGGAGAGAGGAGCCCAAAAATTGCAAAATTCCTTGAATTTAATGGAAATTTTCAAATCCTGGTGAAATAAGTATTTCTAAAATGACTTTTTCTAACCACTAAGCTCCTCACCTGCACTGGTGAAAATCAAGAGTAATTCATCAGTAGAGCTGTGGTAATTTAAATAAGTATTTAAAAATGAAATGAGGTGAAATAAGGCACCATTTCATCATGAGCTTCTTTATTTGACATTCATTTGCTTTCACTGTATTTTTTTTTGTTCTTGAGGACAAAGCTCCCATCACTATGCAAACTTCTGGTTTTGTAGGTGGCTGTGGAGTGGGTGGTCAAATATATTCAAGAACTGCTGAAGCACCTCCTAGAGAATTGAGCCCACCTATTGTTAAAGCAATTGGATCTGCACTCATAGAATTGAAATGGACACCACCTAAGAAACCAAATGGCATCATTACTAACTACTTCATTTACAGGTAAATGACTTTATCACCTCAGATTCTTAGTCTTACTTAATGGTTCCTTTCTTTATTCCTTGATATAGTAGGAGATGAAAAAGATGTATATGAAATGTATATGAAAAAATATGTATTACCTTTCAAATACTAAGGTAAGATTCTGATCTATGAATGGCCAAGTTGAGAGTATGAGCTCAGAAAACAATCACCTTCCTGAACTGCAAATAACAAAAAGCGTGTGAAAATATACTTTTTAAAAATTCAAAGGAACAAAAAACCTTACAAAAAATTTGTGAGATGGATACTCATACTGTGTTTACCCAAACTACTAGGCACAAACTTCAATCCTCTCTGATAGACAGTTGAGAATTTTGGAATGGAAACAGGAGTAATTCACCATTTCTGAGACTTTTAAAAGCAGAAAAAGATATCTAGGTTCCTAAAACAGATCAATTTTCCAGTTTATGTTCCTGCTTGTAAATAAGTCATCTGGACAGTGATTACACTGCACCTATTTATATTCCTTGGTGTTTGTATTCCTCTGCCCTGTCTAGGTTGTTGACTGACACATCCTCACTTCCTATGAGGAGTTTCCTAAGGTCTATGTGAAGATTTTTCTATATAGATAGCTGTGTTTAGGGCAGTATTAAACTAGTAGAGTGCCAATGTCTACTGTGCCCATTGACCCTTTGTTAAAAGCTCACTGAAGCAACCTTCTTGAATAGCTTCAGGAGCCAGAGAATATAAAATTCGAGCCATATATTGGAGAAGAATTTAAACACTGAAGTTCCTGGGTTTTCCAGCTCTAAGTATGTGGAGCAAACACATGCTGGGCTGATCTTAGCATTCCACAAAGAATTTGGGACTTTTTATTACATTAGAGGTGTGACTGAGAAGACATGGAATCAAATTACTGTTTGGAATCCTCAGTGATAATTATTATAAATTCATTTTTGCCTTAAACATGTTAGTAGTCTCTAAAAATTCCTGCTGTCTTGAAATATCCTTTTGTTTGCCTTTTTTTTTAATTATCTGAACAAAACACCCAAGTCCCTCCCCTGCATAAAGAGGAATAAAGTGTGTGTTATAGCCCAAGACATGTCTTCAGTCTGTTGGTTTTGTAAATAAAGCTGATGATTACTGCTGCTATTCCATGGCAACCATAGAAAGGGAAAACAGGAAATATAATGCAGAAAGCCTGCTTCAGTGAAAAATACTGTAAATTGAATTTGACAGCATTTGATGGCATTTGATTATTCTAGTCACAGCCAAACAATGATATAAAGAGTAATATGAAACAGAATGTGTTACTGCCTAGCAGACTCAAAAGCAATAAACCTTCCTCCAATGTGACACAATCACTTCACAATCATAATTGTAGCCTGTTTGATACCTCTGAGTACAGCAGAAGGGCACTGACTGACATAGATACATTTTGTTTTTTATTTAAAGTGAAATGAAAATGGCGCACTGGGGCTCCAGATACAATCGGTATATTCACCTACATAGGCATGAATCACTTGGCAGTTATTTCAGCTGAAGTTTAAATGTGCTTAGACAACAACAATATCAAATCTTTCTCAGATAGCTGCAAAAAAATCAGAAATGGGATGTAAGCACATAGTTCTTTTTCATTTTGTAGCCACACATAGCCTTACATTGTTATAGCAGCAAGACTGCAGTATTTCTATGGGAGGTTATGGCATGTAATTTCTTCTTCATCATGTGCCTCTTCCTTACTGCATCACCACCAAAATAAATTCATTTAACTCAAAACCTGGAATGCTTGGGGAGCTAGTGTGTGTGCAGATCTTTGCATTAAAATGGCAGGACTCTTTCTTTCCTCTAGCATATAAAAGCACTTGCAAGTGTGCAGCCATTTTGCCAGAAACCAAAAAATTGAAATGTTATTTTATGAGAAAAGAGATGGTGATATTTTATCTTTGATTAATATAGCAGTTTTAAACACATATCTGAGGCTTTAAAACTTTTTTAGCAAGGACCACAACTTAGAAGAGATTGTGAATGAGAAAAGATCTGATTCATGAGATAACCACCTAATCTACTTCTTTTCCCATTCCTATGACATAACATCTCTATGACAGCCACAGAAGTTGCTAGTCTGGAAAAATAGTATTATGGAAATAAATGATGTATTTCTTACTGTATTTTAATAGGATATAAGTCACATCAGGAACTGCTCTCTGTTGACCACCAGCGCTAACTGTGTAGGAGGCACATGAGATGGCTCTAAAAAAATACTGCCTGTAAAATTTTAAGTATTTTTGTTTGTAACTTGCTTAAAGGAGTGTCTGAATTTCTGTCAAACCATCTATGTCATGATCAATAAGATTATAGTATTTAGTATATATTTGTGAGATTGAAATGTAGCTGTCATTAGCTGAGCAGTCCTGATGGTAAGTGTAGCAGAAAAATCAAGAGGCAGTTTAAGACAGAAGACATGTCTCAATGGCTGTTGACTGTTGTGACTTGCAACAGGCTTCTATACTGACTCTTTATGAGTAATTCATTGCTTAACTGTATATCCTTAACCATGAATTGCACCCAAAACAGCTTCCAAGGAACATATGTTACTGGATGGTTTAATATAAGAATCCCTATGTCATTGAATACCGGACTCCTGAAGGGTTTCATTTATGCCTGTAATTGATACAATACCCAATCTAAACTAGCATATTACATGCAATAATTCCTTTTGTTCATTTTTTTACATCAAAACGTATATTAAAAAAATGTACCCCAAAACATAAAAGCTACGTTAGTATAGATTTATATGAGTGATCAGTGAGGCTTCTTTGCTTGATTAAATGTAAAACTGTAGAGGGGGGACATTGCTGATGTTGCATTGTTCCACCACGTTTGACAGTATGTTTCCCCAGTCACTTGAATTTCACCCCAAGACTTACCAGTGTTCCTAGAAATAACTCACTCTGGTAAGGAAAGCAGCAGGCACTGCTAAAACGTGTAGTTTTGTTGTATGGCAGAAGGTAAACTTGTGAAGAATAATTCTGGTTTGACCTGCGAGACCTCAGGGATTCACTGTCTCCTCACACGTGAGGAGGCTGAGGGGTGAGCGTTGCAGTCGGTGTCGCAGCAGTCCTTGGTGTGCAGCTCTGTAGTTAGCTGTCACAAAGAAGATCCTGTTCTCCTTCTCATGTCATGCTGCTCAGATTGGCAGTGGGGCAGGGAATATTTGCCCTTATAAAAATAACTATCTGAGCATCTTTAAAATGAATGTAAGCAGCAAATCAGACTATGCAGATTAAGAGGCAGCTTCCAGCTCTTGGAAATGTTATTCTCCTTTGCAGCTCATTGTACATAAGAAACACTTCCAGTTAAATGAGCAGCTGAATCTTAAATCTTAAGACGATTGAAATGATTACAGACTGTTCAACCGCTTCTGTTCAAAGTTTATTCATACATGAAGATATTCTGGTTTTTAGCACTACAGATGGGACCATTTACCTAACCATAAGTTTCATTCATTAAATATTCAGCAGTAATAAGATCTAAATACTTAACCAGGCTACATTGTACAGATTTGCCTGTGGATGAGCTTACAGTTGGTGGCATATTTGATCTTTCAGTGTGGAAAAAACAGTTTATCACAGAGTTTAGAATATTTATAAAACATAAATTTGTGTATTCATTTAAGGGCCATACTGCTCGGTCAGCAAGACATATTAAATGTGACTTTATTGCACTAAAACATACTCTCCCATATTTACAGAGGTTTTTTTAGGCATGTTTTTGAGAACACAGAGAAAAGACTGTATTTTTAGGTGCAGGAGGAAGATATAGTATTTCAAAATTATGTGTCTTACATTGCATCAGTTAACAACATCCAGGGGAGAGTTCTGCATAAATCTTAATTTGCCCTTATAATAGAGTACAGGAAATTGTATTAAAAACTGCTGGTGGAATGCTGCAGACAATGGGAAATTTTGGACCCCAGCTCTTACAGAGAGACTGAGAATTCCTAGGGAATCTTTCTTGCTTCTTCTACTTGCCATTCTTCGCCCAGTTCTGCCAACCAACCCTCAGTATCAACACACAACTTGCCTATTTCACTACACTAGTGATATTGTACCTCAAACTCTTCATTTAAAAAAAAAAACACCCTTCAACCCTTATAAACAAAACAATGTCCATATAGTCTGCTTATCTCAGAATTTAGCAAAAATTATTTAGCTTCATATAAGAAAGTAATGCCTTTGTGCATGCCTTATATGTCCATATACAGAAAGGATGAATAAGCAGCTGTGTATACACATGCATTTGTTACAGTCTTCATATTTGCATGTTAATACCTGGGACTAACGAGCAGCTAAGATTATCAGTTCTAAAAAATTGTTGCAATTTGAATTTTTAAATTATTTCCTGATTTGATCTAACAAAATCAAATTCAACAGAATTTTTTGAAACACAGATTTTCTCTTGCCAAAGAAATGTTCTTCAGCTTCTGCGTGTGTGTAGTGAACATGACGCCCAGTAGCCAGACAAACCAATTTTACTTCTGCAAATTTGCCCTACTTGCACTAAAAGTGGCAGATAATCTAATTTGGTTTTTTGGTTTTGGCGTGGAGGGCAAAAGTGCTTTTACATTCTGCAAAGGCCAAGGTTTCTGTGAAGAGTAGGAGAAATACTTAAATTCATGTGCAGTACAGCACAACCGTCATTGAGATTTATCACACTGTTTAAATGTAACCAACTTAATTTCACACAAACATTTTTATGCCAAGTGAAAGAATTGATTTGATAACTCTGTTTTGAAGATGAGTGCTTGGCTTATTAAAACTGTTGTAAATTATATAGTAGAAGAGGCCATATTACAAAGGGGCTTAGGATCATCTGTAGTCATAACCCTGTATATACTTATATATGTGTACATATGTGTGTGTGTATACATAGACGTATATATATGTATATATATGTACAAAAATAAAACCCCATTTTGCCAAAAGCCTATACAGTGAATTGTCCTCGTATATCTTAAGTTTGCATTTTTAAACAAAAACAGCATTGGAAAAAATATGTAGTTTATTGCAGAAAACTCTACTACTGATATTTTAATGAGGTTTTGTGGTGGAGCTGCAAATTCAGCTAAGTCTATGCACAAGGGATTACTTATTCCATTTGCAAGAAAAAATGGGATATTTATTGTGAGCAAACCAGAATTTGAAAGTGCACAGCTTTATTTTTGAGGGCATGATAGAATATTTATCCCTTGTTCACTAGGTAATATTTTTCTCAGTAAATTGGTTGTAAATTTTCCATAAATGAGGGATTCTGAGGTGAGTACCTCCATAAATAGTTTGATTTTCAGAAATGTTGAAAACTTGCACCCATATTGCAATTCAAGTCATTACTTAGCAACTACATACGTATTTAAAATTTCACGTTCTAATTTATGAAAGTCTTATTTGTGATGTGTTCTATCCTAGAAGGACAATATGCTATTGTGTTGTTACTCTGGTACTCTGGACAGTGACAGCCTACTTGTTTGACATGTTTTATAGTATTCTTCTAGATAAAGGAGAATAATTGGTTGCCTCAAAAACACAAGTTCAGTGAAATGCTTTTAAGACGCAAAGATAGGTAGGCAGTTCCTTGTGTGTGTGTGTAACATACGGAAATAAGTTTTGGTTTTTTCTGAGATATACAGATTGAATTTGGAACTTCAGGATCTACTGCTATGGACTGGCAAAGTTATTTTTGAACTTATTTATTTAAACCCTTTGCTTTTTTATTTAATTCCAGACGTCCTGTGGGCAGTCAAGAAGAGCTGCTTTTGTTCATCTGGACTGAAGGAGCCTTGGAGTTTATTGATGCATCCGATGCCCTACAGCCTTTTACTCTCTATGAATATCGTGCCAGAGCTCAAAACTCTGTGGGGTCAGTGGACAGCTTGTGGGCTTCAACCCAAACTCTGGAGGCTTCCCCATGGGGCATGGGAGCCCCTTGGGCACAAGCAACAAGCGCATACTCAGTGAGATTGAACTGGACCCAGCCTGTCTCTCCCAATGGTGTTATATCCCTGTATCGAGTGGTCTATCAGGAAAAACGCAGCGACCCGACATTTAGCACCCCAGCTGTTACAGCACTAACTGTAATGGTAAGAACTGGACCACAAAACCAGTTTTAAGATATTTTTGGTCTGCTTTGTTCTCTGCTGTATTTTAGAATCTCACTTAACACTGATTAGAAAAGTGGGGTTTCCGATCGTCAGTAGCGTTGTTGGTTTAAATTTTGTGTTTTGCCCAGTGGAGACTGAAACATTTCACATTAATACTGGATTTCTGGTAGAGGCAAGTAGATTACTCAAAAGCATGGATGTGTCATGTCTGGAGGAATTATGCACATCTACCTTTTTCAGCCTCACTCTGAAAATACTGTCCTGAGCTTTTTGTCTGACCGTCAAATAGTGTCACAGGATCTGCACAAAAGAACATCAATATCACTCCTCCTTGTATATAATTCTATTTTTTTAATTCGGTTGGAATCATAAAGTGAATGAATTAATTAGTAATTACATAGTTCATACATGCAATGCATTTGCATGTTCCCTTCATAATTCATCAGTAATAAAAGCAGATCTGCTTTTATTTCCACTGCATGTATTTATATTAAAATGTGCACTGCTGATATGTCTTTTCCTTTCTTTTCCTGTTTCTGCTCAGTGTGTGAAGGGATAGATTCAGGAAAGATCAGGCTGTTTTGTGAACTGACTAACAATGTTGTGTAAGTCAGTGACAAAAATGGTTATGTTTTGTGCATTTACCACTGCTCCTCCCACCTATATATTACATTTTAGTCTTTCTATAGCAAGACAGATTATAGGTAGTTGGTTTGAACAGCTGTATATTAGGATAGTACTGCTATACTTGGCTGTCTTCTGAAAATAGATTTTAGAAAACGCTTCAGGAGTTTGTAATAAAGTTTGGTTTCCTCAGCAGTGCCACCTCAAGTTCACAAACCTAGAATTTTCCCTAAATTATCTTCCTAGTCCATGTTTGTATTGCATAACACTGGAGCCCCCCTAAATTCTTAATTATCCCAATTATAAAGTATCTGGTTGACATGCTAGTAGGATCCTAAAGACCTTTCTCTGGACTACCCAATAATAACCTCTAAGTAACTTCGTCAGGCAGATCTCTACATGACATGGTGGGAGAAGTTTCCAGCTCAGTAATCTGACACACTCTTGTTATCACATGGTTCCAAAGCAGTTTTGTGTCTGGCTTCCTGGAAGCCTAGATGTATTAAGTTTATTATACATCTTTTTCTGAAAAAGAAAACAGATCCTGAACCGAATGATAGAAATATAGACTTTTGCCTTCTGAAACAGTCACATTCGCATTGCACAGCATGCTAGGCTTTAAAAAGTAGATTGGGATTCTAGAGTTATTGAACTTCAGTGGCATTTTGCTACTTAGCTCCCTTAACTTGTTTTAAGAAAAATAATCACAATCATAATTGCGACGATACACCTAAGATTTTAAAACCAGTGAAATGACAGGGCTTCTCCTAATACTCTGCTTCAGCAGCAAGCAATGTGTTGCTGAGCATCAGAATTGACCTGGCCAGTCATGCATTGCAATGTCTTCTAAGCATGCCAAAAACAACAGAAAATGTCCAAGATGGTTGTACTGTGGGTAATAAAACCTACCAAAATGGTCTTTTAAATAATGTTGCCACAGTGTGTTTCTTTAACAGCATCAGTTTAAAAGCCTTCTAGATTAACAAGCTATTATTTACTGAATTAGTATTTTCCTGGCTCCAAAATCCTTTCTTTTCCCCAAACATTACCCTGAATCAAAATAACATTCTGTCAGCATGTGTATAGCTGTTCTACTAGCATTGCATCAAAGCTGACTTGCATGGTTTTTCTACTGTTCTTTGTCATGAATGTGTATCGATTATTATTTTTGCTAACCCTTTTTATTTTAAATATTATACTACCCTTCAGGGAGGAATCTCCTCCATCAGTTGCACTCACTTTAAGCTATTGCAGCTGCATTAACTCAGTAGAGTTGTTTCTGATTTATACCAAGGACCTGAGATCTGATTCCTACCTCTTCTGAATATAGCAGAAGAGCTGAAGCTTTGAATCAAAGTTATTGACATAAAATGCAAAGAGTCCTGTTATCAAAGATATCTTCAGGAGGTTAGGTCAATTATCCCAGCAGGCAAAAACCTGGGCACCAACTTTCAAAGTTATAAACCCTTAAAAATAGAATTTTGTCATGAAATTGCAGGTATACCCTTAACTGTAGCTTTGTGAATGAGATACTTTAATTAAAATGTAATTTTATTGAAGGAACTAGCATTCCAATGATTAAACTTCTGCCCCTTTAAAATATAGCTTTCAGGGGTACTAGGCTAAATCATTTAATCTCCTAAAGCATCTCTATTGGAGCTCCCTCGTGGGATATGTCATTAGTCATTCTCTCACACGAGCTTCCATGTTACAAGTAAGACTTAAAGTATTAAATGAGCAATGAGTTCGGTCCTTTATTTAATCTGTTAGACTCCATTCTTATCCCATTAGATTATTCCAATAAAAAAAAAACAGTGCTAGAATCACAGTGGCTGATCCCACCCTTGTGCTTGTCGGTTGCACCCTGCTTGCCTGCCACAGGACATAAAGCTTGACTGAAACCTAAAGTAGAAATACAATCCTTGTGACACTGCAGGATACAAATTAAGCTTTCACTATTGTACCTGCAGATTGTTCTAGTTTGACAGCTTTGTTTCCATCCGTTTCCAGAGCCAAATGAGAAGCATCTTCTGGGTTTTCAAACAATTTGACAGGTTACCTACTCTACCTTCCCAAAATGCAGCTATTCACTCCCCACTTAAGGTGCATTAATATGGATTTGAATTAATACGTCAAAGGTATGGCTGCTTATCACTGACCCTTTGAAATTTTACACTGCCTATGGAGGTGAAAATGAGAACTCAATTCTGAGAGCAAGAGCTGCTGCCAATGAAATGAAAGGAGGATCTCCCTGCACCCTTAGGAACAAGTGACATACAGTGAGCCATTTTGATGCTTCACAGTTAAAGAGCAGTGTCACCCATTTCCTTAGCTTGTTTGACCAGGAGTGTAGTGACAGATGTTAGGTGACAGCAAATTAAACTGACATTCTGGTTTATTTGCAGAGCAAAGTCAAGTCAAGACTGGTTACAGCAATACAAGTGTCTCCCACAATGTCTTTGCAGTTCATTGTAACCCTCTAAAGCAAGAATGATATTTAGTGTCTTATTTGACAGCATTAACATAAGACAGATGTGTTTATAGGGGAATGGATTGACAGTAAGTTCTCATTTACAGAAATCTGCATAAAGTGACTAAATTGTCAAAGCAAGCTTCTCACTCTTGTGAACTTAGGGCTTAAGCTTGTGAACATAGAACCCAGAGCTGATTTCATTATAAAGCCAGTGCCTGCCAAACAGCATCAAAGCATCACAGTTCTTTACCTGTTATATTCCAAAGGTTGCTGTGAGGTAAAACCGTGGGTAGGTTTGGACATTTCTCAGTAGATGTTTTGTGGGGTGTGTAATGCTGTTTTTCCCATGACAATTATATCAACTGTCTGGTTGTTTTTCATAAGCAGAAGAATTCAAAGCCAAGAAGATGAGTAAAAAATGTAAGAATATGTAGCTGTTAGAATGTGCTTGGAGAAGGAAAAGCATCCAGAGATAAGGGTTAAAAAGAAAAATGCCTGCTATGGGCAGTGCCCCCCAGTTATTATTATGTAGAATCAAGGTTTCAGTGTGTTAAATTCACCGCAGAAAAGTGTAGATAAAAGTACAATGTGCTTGTTAGAAGATGCAAGAGATAGGTATAAGCATTATAGACCTTATTCCTGGGAAATTCTGCACCTGTGCCTACCTAGAAATACAGGTCTTCTCAGAGTGTCTTTTGCAGTGTGAGGCTCTCAGGTCAAGTTTATCATTAAAGGCTTTTTTTGCCATATCTATGCCAGCTTGGGATGTAAAAAATTAACACATCTCATAGCTGTTATCACCGCACCAGCAAAGCCTTTGGTTTGGATGCAGCTATGCTAACAGTTGAGAGCACATGTTGGCTTCCCTTACATTATTTGGGAGATGGTATATAACTACACTGGCCAAGCTCCTCTTGGCAGGTACTTCATCTATGTTAGGGAAATCTGTGTTGCAGAATAGCAAATAAAGAGTTTGGTAGGAGGATGAGGTTTTGGCTTGCATGATTATGTTGTTATAGGCAGACAGCAATTTGTATACCAAATATATAACCTGTGTAAGAATATTAAATATAGGTTATTTATTGAAAAACTTCATATAAAAAATATTGCATCAGAAATAATCTAGGCATATATACATGCCTCCTATGCAGGATTTTACAGATATCTGAAATCATGCATCTGGAGTTAGTTTCTTTTTATTTGTCACATTTAGAAATACATAATATATTAATGTGTGGTCCTTCATTTCTGCCTGCTCATATAGACCAGTGAACATTTGGCAGCATTAGAGAAGAGATACCACATAGTAACTTCCTTGTACATAATATTACTCACTAATGCACTGTAAAGGAATGTACATGGCAACTTTCTTATGCAAGAAGTAATTGAAGATTGTAGCCACAAGAATAAGCATGCCAAGGAGAGGGACCAGGGAAACTTCTTTATGCATGCCTATTTCAGATGCCTGGAAAATGGACTGCACTCTAAGAAAATAAGATTACAGTAAATGAAGGAATCCCTGCACATGCCAGAAGTTCAGAAGATGTGCTACTTAGCAAAGAATGAAAGCTGTGAATGGCAGTGGAGGGCAAAAGTTAATTAGGCTACTGTGCTGCTGTTAGTGAGTGGAAAGTAGCCACAACTAGAAACAAGATGGCTGCTCAGCAGTGCCCTAATACAGCCAAAAGATCATCTCCTTAGCTCTGCAAGGGCTTATGGGTTAGGGGGAAATCATACACAGATGACTAATTTTTTTATGGTTCACAGACGATCAAAGTGAAATTCAGCAGCTGTTCAGGACAAGTGACCACTCTAACGGCTGTAATATAACCTGCTAAATAGAGAGGGAATTGCATGAGAGCAAGAGGTTAGCTGTGATTAT